CTTAAAATAATTTATTACAAAGACCATAAAAACAACTACAAACTAAACATAGCTATAAAATTGATCTAAAAACATAATCAATGTTTTTAGATCAATAATAGCCTACTGGAAACACAATAGGAGATTAGAGTTTTGTTTATGGGTGGAAAACTATTGGTAAAGAGTGGCTGCAGTCTATAGTTCTACAGGGTGGATCTTATAAAAGGGGCTATAAATTAACACTTCAATAACTAACTAAAAAGTACATGCAATATTATTAAAAGGAGCCACCTATTATACGTCACCACCTCTGGACCAAAACAACCCAAACCACTATCCTGAAATCTCTATGATTAAAATGTTATGTCAATAGTTTTCCATGAAATCGAAATTAAATTAAAAACCCCTAAAAACGAAACACAATATTCAAAGAAATAAAATCTCCTGACACAGTATTATAAAACAGGTCGCAACAATAAAAAAAAACAGACAATGATTCAAATAAAAGAAAGTCTAAAATGTTAAAACAGGTAGGCTACGTTAGTGCGTTAATAACTCCAACTAGGCAAAACAGCAGTGACAATCTGTACTGCGTGAATACAAAAACAGCGGTTAGTGTTTGTCCCGATACGGTTAGATATTAAAACAGAGGACCATAAAACTGGTAATCTAACAAAGAAAAAGTACCTTTGTTGTGCACCCATTTCCGAATCTCTGCAAACATTTACATGCGTCACAAGCTGTCTTTCCCCGAGACCTCGCAGACAAAGCACGGACCACACAGAGCGTCAATCTCGACCAAACGGAATGGAGCAGCGGTACACAACCACACCATGCAGCAGCAGCAGCAGCAGCAGCAGCGGAAAGAGGAAGTGCGGAGCTGACCGAGCGGGCATTTATTTCCGGGTGGCTAAAGCAGATGTTTTTGAGTGGGAGGGAAAGGAGCATCTTGTTCTTGTTGACTCTTACTCTGGCTGGTTCGAGATAGACCGACTCCCGGGTACAACAAGTGCCACACTTGTAGCCAAGCTTAAACGCCACTTTGCTACTCACGGAGTGCCACAGCAACTCATGACAGACAATGCTGCTTACTTCACAAGTAGGGAGTTCCAGGAATTTGCTCGCAAGTGGGATTTCTGTCATGTCACCAGCAGTCCCCTGTACCCTCAGTCCAACGGGCTTGCTGAGAGGGCTGTGTGCTCAGCAAAGCACCTGCTGGAGAAATGTGCATGAGATGCAGCTCTCCTCAGCCTACGTAACATGCCCAGGGACGGGCTGCCGTCGCCAGCTCAATGCCTGCTTTCTCGGCGCACCAGGGCTTTCATTCCCATGACCAAAGCCATGTACTCACCCAGAGTGGAGACACAGGTCCAAATGGCCCTGACACAGGCGAGACAGAGAGGAAAAGCCTACTACGACAAATCAGCTAGCCCGCTGGCTCCACTGCGGGCTGGGCAGACAGTGAGAATGCAGACACAGAGAGGACATGCCAGGCTGGCAACAGTGCTAGGAACAGCGCCACAACCCAATAGTTACCAGGTCAAGGCTGGAGATGCTACATATGTCAGGAACAGACGCCACCAGTCTGCAGTCTTCCTCATTCGTGCACATTTACAATAACTATATATATATATATATATATATATTAAAGATAAAAAATTTACAGTTAATTAATGTGCAAAAGTGCAAAAAAATGATTGTCCGT